GTCTGTCTGGTGCTTCCCGCTCATCTCACGTAATTTATATTTCTATTACATAGTCATCTGGCCACTTTCTATATTCTCGACACAAATTAGTTAATAACAAAACCTACAATTGTCTGCTTTTAACTCTTATTATACAAAACTTGAAAATATTAAAATATTCACTCACAAATATAAATTAATCACTGATATTTAAACCAAACAGTCTTTTATATCATGACAATATGTAAATCTATTTTTATTTACCAAAAATGTATAATAGTCTTATATCAGCTTGTTTATATTGAAGAGTAAATAGCTTGAAGCCAAGTGTTACTGTTGGACTTGTCTCTTGTCAATTAGACTGGTTTTAAGGAATTTCACTCCTCATTATGAGTAGACACTTGAAAGTCCCATCAATTTTGAAGTTACCTCTATTTCTTTTTTTTGCTCCAGAGGACAAGTCCAAAACTTAGCCTGACTGAACGCCTTTTCAACATACTGCTATATTTCATATAGTAAGGGGACTAAAATTTACATCACTATTCTGACTCGCCATAGTTTTACAAGGTTACAGTAACACTTGTGCTTCTAAATTGAACAAAGAAGAAGAGTTGGAGAGAATCTAATTGAAGTGTTCAATATTATTAAAAGAAGTATCATCTTTTTTTCAAATTTAACTCTTGAGAACCTGATGTATCTTTGCAATGCATCTTTTATATGGTTTGTTTTATCATATTGCTGGATGAAATAGTTTGGAACTTTAAAATTACTTTCTATAGAATATATAGCTTCTGCAAAGAAATGTCCATGTATTCATATGTGATATTTGTATGAATGAGTTGCTTTGAAGTTGCTGTATATATATATATATATATATATATACTTACCTAATTTACTAGATTAGGTTTGTGGTGTCTGCGCCATGTCACTCCCTGATTGGTTCCTTATCGTCATTCATCTATCAACCACCACCCAAACAATCAGCATCCTGCTCTCATCTCACTAGGCTCACTGCTGTTTCTGTCTTCTTGTAGTTTCCCTCTGTGGTGTTATGTTCTTTTCTAATAAGATGTAAGCAGCTTCTATAGCTTTGTTGATTTTCCATCCCTTTGTTAAGAATTTTAGTTTCAGGTGTCCTGCTTCCTCTGCATGTGCTACTATTGCATTGGTTGTATTGTGTCTTCTGACATTTGTTTTATGCTAATTAACTCTGGTGGTCAGGCCTCTGCCAGTTTCACCTACATAAACTTTACTGCAGCCACCTCATGGAATGCAGTATACTACGCTGCTGTCTGTTATGTGTTTCTGTCTCCTGTCCTTTACCATCTCTCTTATTCTTATTCCTGTAAAATTTTGTTACCACCTCTGTAGTTGTTTGTATCAGTCTGTTGTTGGGACTTGCATCCTGGGCTCTCATCCTGTCTGCTGTCATTGCTCCTTTCCATGATGTTCCTTGCTTTCTCCCTTATAAGCATACCTGTAAGATATTGCAACTTCCTGAAAGCTTCCATTATGTGTTTGTTTTCTTTACCTAAGAATTCTGGGCTACATATCTGTAATGCCCTCAGGAAGAAGCCCAATACCACACCTGTCTTCACTTTGTTGTTATGTGCTGAGAAGAAGTGTATAAAGTCATCTCTGTCAGTTTGTTTTCTATACACAGAGAACCTTGGTCCCTTGATCTACATATTGATCCCTTGACACCAGGCCTCATGAAAGAAAATATTTGATATGATATTATTTTGTTATAATTATATTATTGGAATTTGTTGACTAGTGAAATCACAGAGTGCAATTGATTCATTATCACACATGTATAAGGAGTTTCATAAATTATAAAATCTTTAATTCTGTGGCATTACAAAAAGTATTTCTCATACCAAAACTAATTTACAAATTTTGAATGTTGAATGAAGGCAAAATTTAATTCTTACCTTTCATTTAGAAAAACCCAGCATGCATCAGATCACGAGTGAAAAGTCCCTCTGTAATGTAGTTATAGCTGCTGCCTAGTGAGTGTTATATATAATGTCTCAATTACATCTTCAAAACATCCCCAAGAAAACATAGTACTTGTGACCACTCAGAAACATATATATGTCGTGTAATGAAAATGATGTAACACAAGCACCAAATTGTAACCATGGGGTGATGTCACAGATACGTGTTGTCTTTGGTGGGGTGATAAAGCCTACAACTTCACAGAATTTTAAGGTGTTTCTTTGGGGGATAAGGGTTGAATTTAATGATCAGTTTTCAGTTTATGGAGAGAGGTTGAGAGTCAGAACATTCTTGATGGACCAAAAGGCCCATTGATGTCCAATACGTTCTCACCTCTGTGTGTTTATAGGCAGGATTTATTGAAAATGGATTTGGATGAAAGCTGGTTACATTTTGATTATGACCCAACTTAGAAGTGATTAGTTTTTGGAGGGTTCAGGTCAAAGGTCAAGGTCACAAAAATCCAAAAAATCCCTATCTGTTAACATGGGGACTGATATTACATACTATTTTTCTGTATAGCTCAGTCAAAAATTATCGGATTTTGATGTAACTTAGTGGATATATGTAGAATATTATTCCTCATTGTCCTGCTGAAAATGGTTTGTGTCCGTTGATAACGATGGATATACTGACACATTTTCATATTTTTTTAGAGCAAAATTTAATCAATGCTGCATGGCAGAGGTATGCAATCTATTGAGTGCCCCTCTAGTTTGTTATGCTTTTAACCAGTAATGAAAAGCCATTAAAATTACTAAACTGTCATATAAAAGCTGCCTTAAAAAAAGTACCTTAAAAATTTTCTTTTTGCATCCTAATAAGACTTGAGCACTCAATTGGTAGCAGTAGTGCTCCTTGTTTTCCGAACCATTTAAGTATATACCTCTATATGCTATAGCTAATAATAAGAGAAAAAAAACACTATTACCATAATAATTCCTTCATTATCATCAATTATGCTTAAATTATATATACGAGTTTTCGATAAGGACCAGAAAGTGCAAAGGTTTTTTTTTTAAATAGAGTTTTAAATTCATTATTGTTTTATAGTGCTGATTTTGATCGCCTATTGACAATTAATGTAATTGATATAATAGTTTTGAAGCTATACCTCTTATGTGTGTAAGTGTGGAATTGAGTACTAAACCTAAAATTTTCTTCTGACACAACTTTAAGGTTCTTTCTAGAAACATTATAAAGCACCCAACAAATCAGAAAAGCAGAAAAGAGTCTGAGGGTAACCAAGGAGGCAAAGCATTTAAAGGTCCTAGGTTTTGACTACTTTATATTAGAAAAAAAAAAGAAAAATAATATTTTTAATAGTTAAAAGTAACTCTAGTTTCTCAAATTGTACAGTTATGTAATGCCAAAAGCCACAAAGCAAAAGAAGTAAAAAATATATCTTTCATCTCCCACTTTGTTATATAAGTTAATTCAATATGTTCTAAAAAAGTAAAAAAAGGACTAAGAGCAAGTTCTGAATTTAAAAAAATTAATAATGCATTATGATCATAAATAGTTTTACCAGGTTATTGTGATGACTATCATTTATTATAGGTATTTCTATTAATGTAAATAAAATAACAACCTGTATCTACAGAATGTATGTGTATTAGCTTAATATTTGGATGTTTGAATTTCTTTAAGAGCTATAGATAACTTACAAATTTGCTAATCCAGTTTAAACTTGTAGGTTTTTGATAACTCCTGATGAAGCTGTAATACATTCTGTAGATAGATATATTGTTACATCTGGTCATTTGTTAATTTCCCATATAACTTCTTTCGGATGAAACTTTAGCAACACAAGTCCTTTCTTAAATAAAGCTATTTTATTCTTCCTCAATACAACTTTGCAGTACACAGAATTTCCACATTCACTTTAACTTAGATACACACTATAATTCACAATGATTTACACACTTTACATACGGCTTGACTCAGTTATCTGTCTCTATCTCCCTGTCTGCTGTTCAATTATCTATGGCATCACTTCTCGCCGGTCTTATATATACAAATTAGAGGGCGTCTGGCAAACACTCGAGCTTTCACGAACGTTCCAGATACTCATTATGTGTTACCAGCATAACGTTAATTCTGCTGTCATAACAATATTGTTATTTTATTTACATCAATAGAAATGTAATAAATTTCAATTTGCATTAAACAAAGTTAAGAATAATGATTTATTATTCAATGACATTTTAAAATTTTTATCTTCTCTTCAATTAACCACATCTGAAGCAGAATAAACTTGAATTTTCTTTTTGACTTCACACATGCTTTTGTTTGACAGAATTAAAAGCTTTGTGCATAAATCAGTCATGTCAGGTAGCATTGTCAAGGTTTAGCTGATACAGTAGTTCACGGTTGATATAAAATTATAACAAGAAAGCAGCAGGAGTGTAGCTTGACAAAATTCACCATAAATTTTCTATTAAAGCACATTGGGCATTATTTTCATTGTATTTTAGTGAATTCCATGCATTTTCTGAAGAAATATTTTGGAGTAAATAGCTCAAAGTATTAAAAGATGTATCACACTTTAGAAAAGCACTTCTATAAAATTAAACTGTATAACCAATACAACCTTTATAAGAGTGATTAGAAATAGCAAATGTGTATGTATTCATATTTGTGTAGATATGTAATTTGAAACATATGAATGTTGTAACTGTAGAATTCCTTATCATTTCAAATTTCATAATTACTATATGAAAGTTAACCTGCTGCCTCTAGTTATTAGGTTTATCAAAATCTACAGTTAATTATTAATTGTTTTAATTCAACTAAACACAAATGTATAAAACCTTCCTGTGCTATGTGTAGGCTTCATATGCACATATAAATGTGTATGTTTATGAATAATCAACATTTTCATAGATATGTTTGCAGTTTAGTGCTTACATCTGCAATAGAAAATTTTAAAACAATAGATTAACTCATCACATTCAGAAAAGTTTCTCTGTGTAAAAATTAAAAATGGTAGTTATTTATTAATTTCCTTGAAAATATTTTTAGAAATTCAGTTTGAAGAAAAAGTTTCACCCATTCGTATTGACATCTATGAGACTTATAATCCAGGATCTGTTGTTCGAATCTCAGCCTTTGATGCATCAGAAGTAAAGTAAGTACCATTTTTATGTGCATGTGTACACTGTATATTTTGATAACAAACTATAACAAGTGATACTTTACTGTTTTCAGCTATTCTAGAGAATGCAAGCCTTGGTTTATTTTCTGTTTTCCAGAGAAATGCTTTTTTTTTACCACTGCAGTATAGCTTTCACTAAGAATATGTACTAGTAACCCCATTTAAAAAAACATTTTCTTGTACACTAGTCTGGTGGTTTAGTGGAACATGTGATAAAGACTGTCAAGGATATGCTTGCTTAGTTTATGAACCCTGACCATACAGATTGGATTGAACATTTATCCTATGTCAATTTGAACAGAGATCAACAGGTTATTGCTCTCTTTAGATATGAGCAGACAACCCACATTGTCCACAAAACTATGTAGAGTGGTTAAGGTGTGTATTAGTTAACATGTACGTGATTATATGTCAATAGCTAGGAAAGAATGACATATAATAGAAGAGGTTCTGTAATAAGACAGTGAAAGAACAAAAGGACCATTATGGAGACTGATGTGGCCTTGGTGCATACCAGCAGCACAGAAGCCTCTTGGCTGGTCAGGATGACCACATCTTGTGCTGTGACAAGTCAATCCATTTAGTACAAAGTATAGATGTTGAGGGCTCATGAAAGCACTTAGACATGTGGATCAGCCAAGTCTGTAAATGACCAGAAAATCTCTGGTGAACTGCTTGACCAAGAGCCAGAAGAGGAGGTAGTTGAGTAATATGAGGATGAAACCACTGTTTTTATCTCACTGTGCCTCTGAAGGTGAGGAGGAAAGTTTGGGTTGACTGAGGGGAAATTGGCAGATTCATAGGCAAAACTACTCTCTAATGGTTTATGGAACTGTTGATGACAACCTCCCTGTTAGTATGCCTGGGATTAACCCCAGTCATCTACAGCTATGATAGTTACTGATTTTAGGATCACTGACCGAAAGGAAGCTTTTCAAGTTATCAAGTGATGTCCACAATCAAATTTATACACTACATTTTTGTGATTTCCTCTTGATTACCAAAAAGGTAAGATGTTTAGAGCTAGTAGATGTAACACCTTGTACATCAAAATTTGTTCAAAGGCTTATATGCCACTAATTTCTCTAGCTACCAAGTGATTTTTACAATGCGAACAGAGACATTTCACGAGAATCTCTCATCTGAACTAGCTGAGTTGCAAGGACTCTATAGAGAATACAGCACAGCCTAACTCTTAATCCTGACTTATAAACCAATAAAATTTAACCAATTCACTGTGGCTGAGATGTATATTTCTCAGTGCACTGGGAAATATATGTCCCAGTTGCAGTGAAAGGGCTAACTAGAAACAGACGTATACTGTTATGAGGTTTACGCAATTTAAGATAAAGAAATGTAGTTTCCTGTTACAATTTATAGTCATTCTAGAAGGAAAAAAAGGATAATTTAGATTTAATTTGTATTTTTTTATGGTGGTTACAAGGTTGGTCAAACTGAATGTGTATAAGTTTAGGGTAGAGAAAATAACAGATAAAATGTAGAGTTTTGCTGTAAAAAACATTACACATACAGTGAAACCCTGATTTTACGAGCCCCGAGTTAATGCGAATTTGGATATAACGTGATGGGTTATTAACTCTTTCGACACGGGCTCGGTCCCTGGGACCGACCTCACAACTATAACATCGTTATAGTTTACATGCTAATAACTTTTAATATTTTAAGTGTATCTTAACAAAATTTTTTAGACTTATAGTAAACATTAGAAGCCTTTTGCACACAAAAAATCAGATTTTTTAATGACGTATTTTTACTTAAATTTGTTCATGAAAATATTGATTCTTTTTTTTTTAACTACTCTGAGTACAAAGTGATTTTCATGTCAAAATTATAAATACTTTTCGTCGTCTTAAAAATCTCAAATTTCCTTTGTGTAATCCCTAAAACCTCCTAAATGCATTTCAAACGTTTTTTTTTCACTAAACCCTTCAACAATGCTTGAAGCCTATCTGAAAAGCCTGAACATGAAGGAAGTTTGCCATTTAGGTGGGAAGGCCTTGGCAGCAGTCAGCTCGTCGTGTGTAGAAAATGATGGGAGAAGGGTCTGGGGCTAGCTTTTTCATCACGGCAATCCACCACGGAAGATGACGATGATGAGACAGATTTGTACAGCTTCACAGAGTAAGATGTGCGTGAGACAAAGAAGCTGTTTGAATGGAGCAAAGAAGAGCTACACCAGTGGCACTCTGTTGACGATGAATGCCCAACATATGAGCACTTGACGGACGCCGAGATCGTCCGTAACATAACTATAGCACCGACGGAGGCAAGTGTACCTGTTCTCGAGCCAGAAGAAGAGGATAATGAAGAGCCTCCATCACCATCACCAAAAGTGTCTGAAGCCATTGAACACCTCGAGGCTAACCTCCGTTGGCTGGAGACTTGGGAGGTGGACCACATAAGAATCCTCCAACTCAGAAGCATTCTAGATTTTACCTGCAGCCAGAGACATACTACATTCAAGCAAGGAACACTTGATCAGTTTTTTAAGAAATAAACTGCAAATGATGATTGCTAATATTATTGAATGTTTTTATTTGTTGTTTTGTTTATTAAAAAGCCAAAAATAATCTGTGTTTTAATTTCTACTGTAACAAAACAACGACTCATTTGCAAAATTCTTTAATTCAGAGTAATTTACTTGCCAGAAAGGTAATGTGTAAAAAAACTAGTCAAAGAGGGCGAAAATAGAGGAGTTTTACGATGCTAGGTCAACATTGGGTCAGTTTGAACAGTGATTTTCTTGAACCCCGATTTAGCGCGACCCCGCTTGTTTTGCGATGACATTTTATGATAATGTTATAACGGGGCTACACTGTATGTCTAAAATGTTATACAACATATATGCTATCTCTCACAACAGAAATATTTAAGCTGTAATTTTAAAGATAGCACCAACCTCAATTTTGAGGGATCAGATTGGCAGTCACAGTAATGGCTGATGTTAAGTGTCAAATTATAGCCAACACTGCTGCATGATTGAGAATTTTATAGATACTGCACATAGAGTAACCATCCTTGAAGCTGTCTATAAGGAGTGGCAAAAATCGTGCAAACAGGAGATGGGGATTTTAGGTGAAAGTGAGGGAGAAATTTTGTAACTGTACATTTTATTTAAAAAATATTTAGTTTCAGATAAAGTATGCATCAGCAACTGCCCACCAGAGTTTAGGGTTATTGCAGTAAAAGAGGGTCATAGAAGTGTCACGACCCAAACTCCATCAGAAATGGAGGGAGGAAAGACATATTAACATAATCAATTCATAATTATTAATTAACATGTTTTTGACCTTGTAAAGTCACTCAAAGAAGAAATCTGGCCAGTTGCAGCTAAACCATTACTGGCCTTACTATGGCCAGCAGTGAGAAGGAAGAAGGAATATAACAATTAAGAGGTATTCAAAATGTTTATTTATGTACATGTTCTGTTATGACACATTGTCTTATATTTGCATTGAATATATATGCATGCATCTACAAAACTTGAAAAATTCATATGGCTCTCTCTCTATATATATATATAGTTTTACAAGTGGTAAATGCTGTATGTGCCTGAGATATTTAGGAGAGTCAAAATAGGGATTTGTAGTTTGAGGAAATAATGCCAGCACTGTGTCTCAAACCTTAAACTTGTTTGTTTACTTCTTTTGCAATTGCAGTTTTACTTTATGCTACCTATCTTGTTTCTGTATTTTTTGAAGATCCCTATTCTTCCTTTTTAAATTAACAACTTTTAATAATCTTGTATATTTTGATTTATGAAGGGTTTAGGCTTTAATTTTGTTCAAGGGTTTTTATTTTTGTATGGCAAATGAATTCTATGTTAAAGAGCTTTCCAGTGTGGGCTGTGTGCTTGTTTAGTTGTTAAAGGAATTTTTTTTATGTATTTCTATCTTAAAGGGGTATTTTTATGAGGTGAAAACTTTGATTATGTAATGGTATTTCTTTGTTTAAAGGTTGTGATGTTTGTGTGGCATGTGTTTTCAGGGGTTAGAGAAAGTTAACAATACCTGTTCTTTTCTTGGAGGAATGGGGTGAAGGATATTGCTGCAACACTGCACCTTATTCAAGGATGTCAATGACAGTGCCCTGCAAGAGCCATTTAGGTGATATCTTGGTTATGGTCTCATCTGTGTTGTGATAGTCACTCTGGATAAATGCAACATTTTTTGAAAAATAAATAATGCAGGATTTAGATGGTCTAGAATAGGATTTTATAGGAGAAGCAGTGGAAGGAATCCAGGAATCCCATGTATGGAAAACTGAGTATACAAACTGTGTGTTTAGGATTGTAATCAAAATTGTTCATTTTGCATTTTACTTTGTGTCGAGTCTCATTGTTGCATTAACTCTTTCACTGTGCCTGGTATGTATGTTTCCCAATTCAATGGGATACATATGTCCCAGCTACAGTGAATAGGTTAAACATCATAACCCAATTAATAAGAGATTTAGCATTACTTCATGATCAGTATCTTGTCTGAATCTCCATTTAATACAAGTGGACCTATCTCATAGCTTGAAGGTTAATTCTATTTCACCTGAATATACCATATGGAGACCAGATGTAAACAATTGTTATAATTATTTAAAAGAAAATAAACTGGCTTCAAGCACTATATGTATCACAAATGTCTGAAGTTTAATGGTATATTAGCAAGTATTGTATACTAGGCTTGCAATGGCAAACTATTCAGATGATAGAAATTTTTTAAATTTAATTTATTGTTAAGTTTTGTGTATTTAAACAACTCATACACTTATAAGAGCTTCTTATTTATAGAAAGAAACCAGAACTATGAGATAGAAATTTATCTTCACCAAAAATATCATTCTCGGATGTATTATGCTAAGACACCTGATAATGGTGACACCATTTTGAAAGGTGAGGCCACTTGTCCCTGATAAATTTTTGTTAGTCTGCCATGTTTGTACGATTAAAAGAGAGAAGT